CTCGCTGTGGCTCTAATTGGCCGTTTCAGCTGTGGAGTCAGCGAGGTGTGGGTGGCCACTCCTCTGGGGACAGAATTCGTGGGACATGAGCTCAGACTGAGAATCAGTGCCCCTCCCAGCTGGGAGAGCCCCGAGGGGAAGCCGGCTATGCTGCACAGTAAGAAGCACACTGGCTGGCAGGACCTACTGTGTGCAGCAGGTCCTACTGTGTGCTGAGCACTTGCCCTGGGGGACCCTTGCCCTCAGCACTCCCGGAAGCACACGAGAGCCATCCGTGCACTGGCTCGGGCATTTAATGGGCACCTGTTTACGGCTGGCTCTGTGCCTGGGGACACAGCAGTGGACGAAACAGACAAAAACCCTGCCCTGAGTGAGCATGCATTGTAACAGGAGAGGCGGAGAGGGATAACTAAACAGATAGCAGGACGGCAGGCAGCGGAAGTGCTCGCACGAGAAATGTTCCCAAGCGGGCCGGGGCAGGCGCTCTCTGCGAGGGGACAGCGGAACAGAAGCCATGAGGTGTCTGGAGAGGAGCGCTCTCGGGCCCAGGGGGCAGCCAGCACGAAGGCTCCCAGCCGGGAACACACAGCATGTCCAAGGCCGCAGGATGGAGCGGAGAGAGCGTGGACAGCGTGGAGAGCCTGGGGTGGGAGCGGCCGCCACGAGTCAGGCGGCCCTGACCTGGATGAATTCGAAGTGAGAGGAGAGCCTTTGGGAGCAGCGACCGCCTTGCATTTGGCTGCGTGTGGAGGGTGAGCACTGGGCGTCGGGCTCAGAGAGCAGGGTCTCGGCTGCTTCAGCCACACCAGCCAGCCCACGGGACCCTGCTCCTGGGACCCTGCTCCTGGGACCCTGCTCCTGGGACCCTGCTCCTGGCTCAAACAGCCCTCCCGCAGGTACCAGAATGAGGTGATGAGGGCTGGAGCATCCCCTGTCACTCTCATCACCAGCTCAGCAAAAACCCCAGCCCTCCCCACATATCTTCCTGCAGAGCCACACAAGCCAGCCCCATTTTACAGGTCAGAAAACTGAGTCCCCAGGTCACACAGTGATGCAGTTCAAACCCAGGCAGGACTCAAACCCAGGCTGACCAACCCAGAAGTCTTGGTCTCAGCCCGTCTACCCACCCCTCGCTGCTCCCCGACACCAGTCTCTTTCCTGGGGAACGAGTACGTGGACACCAAAGGTGGGCAGCAAAGGTCTTCACCGTGACCTCACTTTCTGAGGGCAGAGAAGCCCACAGAGCCAAAGGTCAGGGCCCACCCCTCCCAGCTCCACTTCCAAATGCCCTTGAGGGAGGAGGGGTCCCCCGAGGGTCACCTTCAAGCTGATACTGGAAAGTGGGGAGCCCTCAGAAGCACCCAAGGCTCAAACCACAGCGAGAGCAGCAGAAATGCCAGATCTGGTCAGGGGAGTGAGTACGGCATGGGGAGCCAACCCAGGTCCCTGAAAGGCAAGTCCACGGAGCCGGAGACCACGGGGAGACCCTCTTGCAGAAGGGCATTTTGCGGGTGCCCCACCGACTCCCCTCAGATGTCACCAGACTGCTCACTGCCCTGAAGCAGGCAGAGAGCGCCTGGGCAGGGCACCCCAGGGTGCGCCTGTACCCCGTGCCCACCCACGGAGCCTGGCATGGGATCTGAGGTCCGGAGTGTGCGTGGGGATGCCAGGTTCCAGGCATGAACAGGATCCTGTTCGTGCTTGATATTCACTGAAACTCCCAGGCTGGGCTCCAACCGGGGATGAATGCGGGGCCCTGAGATGGAGCGAGCAGTTTCCTGGGCCATCCGGGGTTCCCTGACCGGGGACTACTGGCTGCCCCTCCCCCACAGGTAGGGCAGGCCCCCGACACAGCTCCGTCCTCCTGGCGTGGCTTGGCCACATAAATCACCCTCTCAATAATATTGGTATTGATTATCTAGATTGGAAGCCTCAATTGGCTCCATTGTCTCACTTCCTTTCCTGGGGTTCACAGATGGGGTCCCATCCCCCCATCTGTGTCTCTAATGCGACATTTAAATGGAGTGGCCTCAGTGCCAGCAAGGCCCCGTGCTGCCCTGGGTGCTGGGGGGGGGGGGGGGGGAGCGAAGCGCATATTCCTGGAAAAGGACTTATGAACGCCCGAGCTCATGGAGCCGGAGAAGCAGCCAAGATGGGCTGGGCCCGGACCCTCCACGTGCAGGACCAGAACCGCCTGAGCCTGGTGAGAAAAGCAGGGCCCGGGCCCCCAGACCCACTGAGCCAACATCACATTGAGCGAGAGCCCTCGGTGACTCCCACTGCGGTCACTGCTCTCGCCACCCTGGTCGTGTCCAGGAGGGAAGCTGAGGCCCAGAGAGGCCAAGGGCTCGCCTGAGGGCACACAGCAGGTGAGACTCCCCGGGACTCTAGTTGGGGCAGAGGAAACATGGAGGCCAGGGGCTTCTGGAGGGAAGGGCCCGCTATTTGCACAGGCGCCTCTCCCTCCCGAGTTCCTGCCTCCTGTCTCAGGGCGTGGACAGATGGTTCAGACCAGAATCTGTCCCCCCTGTGCTCTCCCAGCCTGGAGGGGCCAGCCAGAGCTGGGGGGACTCCCCAGGAGGGCACCTCCCTCCCGCCCGGGCCAGCCAGCTGCCCCTTCCCTGGCAGCAACTGGACAGCAGCTCCCAGGGAAAAGCGCCACCTGGGTCTGCCCAGCACAGCCAGACGTCCAAGAGGGGGGCACGGCGGGATGGAGGCCCCGCAGAGGCGGCAGCAGAGGGCCTGGGAGCGGTGGGGACCAGGGGCGAGAGCTGGGGTCCAGGGAAGGAGGCAGAAAGGCAGAGATGGTGGGGAGGGGGCAGGCAGAGAGGACCAGACACAGAGGGGGAGGGAGGAAGACCAGGAGGGAGGGAGAAGGACCCAGAAGGAGAGAGACCTGGATGAGGGAGAAGCAGCCAGACCGAGACAGGAAGGAGGGAAAGAAGGAGGAAGGGGAATGGAGCAGGAAAGAGTGATGGGCAGGGAGCGGGAGGGAGGCAGCTGGCCTGGAGAAGCCGAGCCAGGGTGGCCCAGCCCTGCCCGCCCGGCCTGGCCCAGCCCCCAGGGGCGGTGCAGCTGCCACACTAGGGCCCGACCACGGGGTCAGTCCTGCCCTGGGGCTGAGGGAAAATAAATGGTGTCCAAGATAAAAGGTCCGAGAAAGTATTTGTCTTGTTGTCACGTCTTGACTGCAATGGGCAGGGGCCGACAGGGCATCATCCCAGAAAAAAGCCGGGCTGGCAGGCCCCCAGCACACGCGAGACCCGGCCCCGGCCCCGGCCCCAGCCCCAGCCCCAGCCCCCACCTTCCCGGCCTAACAGCTCCCAGAACCTGGCCTGAGAAGGCAGGGATGGTGGGGCATGGTCGGTATTTGCTCAGCATCTATCCCCAAACCCCCTCCAAGCGCTGGGAAGTTGGATCCTGTCCGTGACACTCACAGCGGAGGGTCTCTGTGGGCTGGGGGCTTGGGCAGAGAAGGGGTCAGGTGTCTTACTCCTCCCAACCCCTCCGCAAAGGCAGGTGATGGTTCCCAAACACCGAATTCCAGGGTCAAGGCCAAGTTAAGAGGACGGTGGCCCAAGGTACTGTCCCCGTGCCTCGCAGGTACTCAAGCTCAAGCTCGCACACACACACACACACACTCACACACACACTCACACACTCACTCACACACACTCACACACAGACACACACACACTCACACACACACTCACACTCACACACACACTCACACTCACATTCACACTCACACTCACATTCACACACACACACACTCACACTCACACACACACTCACACTCACACACACACTCACACTCACATTCACACACACACACACTCACACACTCACTCACACACACACACAGACACACACTCACACACACACACTCACACTCACACAGACACACACTCACACTCACATTCACACACACACTCACACAGACACACACTCACACACACACATTCACACTCACACACAGACACACTCACACTCACACTCACATTCACACACACACACAGACACACACACTCACACACACACTCACACTCACACACAGACACACACTCACACTCACACACTCACAGACACACACACTCACATTCACACACACACTCACACTCAGACACACACACTCACACTCAGACACACACACTCACATTCACACACTCACACACTCACACACACATTCACACTCACACACAGACACACTCACACTCACATTCACACACTCACACTCACACTCACACTCACACTCACATTCACACACACACAGACACACACACTCACACACATTCACACTCACACACAGACACACACTCACACTCACACACACATTCACACTCACACACAGACACACACTCACACTCACACACACATTCACACTCACACACAGACACACACTCACACACACACACTCACACAGACACACACTCACACTCACATTCACACACACACTCACACTCACACAGACACACACACTCACATTCACACACACACTCACACACACACTCACACACAGACACACACTCACACTCACATTCACACACTCACACTCACACACACTCACACTCACACACACACACTCACACTCACAATCACACACTCACACACAGACACACAGACACACACACTCACACACCAGGCTGCTTCTCACCACCACCAGCCTCCAAAAGCATTTCCCAGAGGCTCGCCCCCTCTGAGCCTCAGAACCGAGGGCTGGTGAGCAATGCCGTGGGGCACAGCCGCCGGCTCTAAGCCATCCACTGTGGGCCACTGATGGGCCTTTACCCGCAAAGGCACTTCTTATTCCCCCTTTCCGTTAGTCCTCCCAACGAGGCTCTCAGGGACGCACCCCGCACCCCCGTGTCACAGACGAGGACACCGAGGCCAGCAAGGGGCAAGGTCACACAGCCAAGGCCGGGCAGAGCTGAGATTTGAGCCTGAGGTCTCTGGGGTGGGGAAGCATGTGCACGCTGGGGCAGGAGGGGGTTGGCACCTACCATACTTGTCCCCGTCCTCGCCACGGGCGCTGATCCTGCGGCCCAGGACCTGGATGTGCTTCCCGCTGGTCCGGCTGTAGAGCTGGTACAGCCGCAGCTGCTTACGGCTCACATCGTCCCGAGCCCGCGTCTGGTTCTCCACGTGGATCCGGAAGTCCACGTTCTCCTCGGCCGCCAGCACCTGGGCAGGGCAAGGAGCGACGGTGAGACCCTTGGAAGTCCGGGGTCCCCTGCAGGCCAGGGCCTCCTCTACGCCAGCTCTGGGCCAGGCCTCGGCGCACACGCACAGCTGCCCGAGGCCACCCCCATCTCCCACATGAGGCAGCGAGGTGAGGCAAGTTGCCCCAGGTGGCCATGCCAGGAAGCGGCGAAGATAAGAATCAGGCCCAGGTCTGTTTGAAACAAAGCTCACTATCTTCCCACCACAGCCTCACATCAGAGCAAGAAGTGCCGAACAAACGAACGGAGGTTTCTCTTTGGACCTTGGGCACACAATTTGCTTGGTCTCAGAGTCCAGAACCCCTGCTCCGGCCACATCCCAGGGGGCTGTGAGGATATGGAGATGGGAGAGGGGTGGGGAGCATATGACTGCTGTTCGGGTCCTTGGCGGGGAGGAGGGAGGCCCGACAAGTCTCATCTCATCCCGGAAAGAATGGGCCAGGTCATGTCACTTCTTCCCGGAGCCTGATGCTGAGGGAGCCCCTCCCAGGCCCTGAGGGTCCTCATGCTCGCCCAGGCCACCAAGCATTTCCCCACATCCTCTGCGAAGCCGCCTCTGGCGACGCCAACACTTACTCTCCAGCCTCCCTTCACCAGCACAGCCTCTCACCCGCACACCCTTGCCCCCTGGCTGTCTATCCTCCGGCAAACCCAGTCGCCTCCCTCCCTCCTGTGATCCTCCCCCTCCAGGGCCTCCCATCACGTTTAGATGAGGTCCCCACCCCGACTGCTTTCATCTCCTATCACCCCCTCTCCACCAGTTCCACGGGCTGCCACTTCACACCGCAGAGCATGTCAAACACAGAGTGCACACCTGCCCCAGGGCCTTTGCACTGGCCCCTCCCACCGCTTCCATGCTCTCCCCAGATCTTCACATTCTGGCCTCCCTGCTTCCTTTGGGTCTCTGCTCAAATGTCACATCCTGCCTGCTTTTCTGAGGCCAGGCCCCACTCTGTCACTATCCGTCTCTCAACCACCCTTTGTTTTTCTTTCTAACATTTATCAACCTGCCATAACATCTCTTTGTCTGGCTTTCGTCTGTCCTCCCCGCGCAGACTGGCAGCACCGGGAAAGCTGAAATGCTCCCTTTGTCGTTGGCTGCCCTATCCCCAGCATGTATAGCACAGTAGAAACTCAAACATTTGTTGAATGAATGAAAAAAGAAATGAACAAATTAACATTGAAAAGATCTAGAGTCCTGTCATTCCATTTAACATTAAATTGGGTTTTTCTACGGCCTGCTAATGGCGCGCCTGCCCTAACTCATCTTAACCAGAAAGCTGAACAGTTCTTAAAGGTCCAGGCTTATTCCCATTTAGGCAATAGGACCTCAGCCCACTCAGCCCACAGCAGAGCTCTTGGGACCTGGGCTGCGGCTGCATCAGCCCTCAGCTGTGAGCGGCCGGGGTCAGGGACCGTGTTTCCCTCATGGCTACACCCCACGCCCAGCCCGGGGCCTCTGTCCCCCAGCTGACCTGCACATCATCCTCCACCCCAGCCGGGACCCCCAGGCACATCCGCGGGACCACATCATTTAACCCTCACTACCATCCTCCGACTGGAAGGGTTAACCCACATTACAGATGAGGAAACTGAGGCTCCAAAGCTGAATTGACAAGGTCACAGATCAGGCAATGGCAGCCCAGACCTCGTGGCTCCAAAGCCCAGCTTTCAGCCCCATCTTGCTGCCCCCCGCACCGCCCCCCCCGCACCCCCTCTCCCCGCCCAACCAGGGCCATCAGGCGCAGGACCGAGGTTCAAAACCCAGGGCGTGCCGCTCCCTAGCTAAGGGACCCCAGGCACGTTACTAACCTCACTGGGCCTGTATCCTCACCTCTAAAACCAGGGTGCTGGCTTCAAACGCACGAAGTCCTAGCACAGTGCCGGGTGCAGAGTAAGTCTCGGTAAGAAACTACTAGGAGAAGGTCAGGCAGCCCTCGAACGGCTCCCCGGGAAGCCCGCCAACAGAAGCCTCTTGCGGCGCAAGCAGATCACAGGCCCTGTCCCTAAGGAGGCACTTCTGAGGCACAGATACAATTTGCGAAAGTACTGCTGCCTTGGGTCGCCTGGACAACCCTGTGACATGAGGATGCTTAACGCAGCCATTCAACAGATGGAGAAACTGAGGCTCAGAAAGGGTAAGTCGATTGCTCTGACTCACAGTCTGGTGACGTGGAGCCTGGCCGCTGGCCCACCGAGCGTGCACACCCTTCACTCCACCACCCTCACCGCCAGCTCTCCCCGCCTCCCTCTCCTCCCCGCTCCCCACCACCATCCACAGCCAGGACCCAATCGTGTCACATCCTGATGCTCAGGGAGGGACGCCCCCCCCCCACCCCCCAGTGGGCATGTGTCCTAAGACCTCCCACCCGTGGCCCTCAACCTTCCCGAGGTGGCCTGGCCCTGTCCCCTCCCCCAGGGGCAGGCGTCCAGCCTCCCTCCCTGTCCTCCAAGTCTCCTCCTGCTCACAGGAGACCTTATCGACCAGAGGTCAAACCAATCTCCTCACCCCGGGCCCCGAGGGGAGCTGCCCTGCCCAGAGCCAGCCCCCCATTACCGATTTTCTCCCTGGCGCGCTGGACGGAGACGGGCGGTGACCCGGGGTCAGCAGGCGCTATCTGGTGGCCCTGCCCCCGGATGTGGGAGGGATAATCCATCTTGCCCAGCTTCCACCGTTCAAGCCACACTCTGTGGCCCCATCCATCCCTAGGGGGGCAGGGGGGTGGCCTCTGACACGGAAACACTCCATCCTCCCGAAAAGGCAGGAGGCCCCTGGGCTTCTGGGGAAGACCTCAGAGGGCTCCAGGCCTTTTTGGGGGGGGAGGGGAGGGCCGTGTCCTCTGCGCAGGGCACCCTGCCCCCTCTGCACACCTGACCCCTGCCCTCAGGTGCCTCGGCCGGAAGCCTTTCCTGCCCGCCCACCCCAGGTCAGGTTGGGGCCTCCGGAAGGAACTGTAATGGCTTATTGTCCCCAGCGCCCAGCTGGTCTGGGTCATCCTGGATCTCTGGCTCTGCCCCCAGGAGGCACCCCGCGAATACATGCTCAACGACTGTGGCTGGGACAAGGGAAACCTGGCGGCCAAATCAGCCCACCGCTCACCACCCAGAGGGCCCGACGCAGGGACCCCAGGGGGATGAAAGCCATCAGCTGCTAGCTTTCCTCGGCTAAGAAGCCTCTAGACATGGTACCTTATCTGAGCCGCTCAGCCACCCATGGAGGGGGGCACCCGTGAGAGCCCACTGCACAGATGGGACCTCAGCGTCAGCTCCCCAGGCCACAGAGCTCCCAGGTCTGCCCGTGGGGCTCACACAAGCAGCCCACTCAGGAACCATCTCCCCGCCTTTCCTGCGAGCTGGGACGCAGGTCACTGGCCCCGCTGCCTAAGAGGCGGCCTGTCTCCCGGGCCTTCCTAGAACAGTCAGCACTGCTCTCTGCCGGGGACACCCCTCCAGGTGGGGGGTTAACTACTGACTCCCTGACCCAGGGCTGCCCAGGAGCAGCAAGAACCCCACAGGTCCAACTCTCCCCCCAGCTCTGCCCCCAGGCTCCCGCAGGGACAGGGTGCGAGTGGGACTGGGCTACCCCCTCCACTGCAGCCTCACCCTCGGCAGCCCAGCTCCCTAACGCACAGGGCAGGCTGTTTCCCTGCTCCCAGCTCCGCCCCGCCCGCCCGAACCACCCACAGGCGCGTCCCCAGGTGGGAACGATCTTTGTCATCGAGCCCCTGCCGACCAAGCCTCCTCTCTGAGGCTCCTGGGGGGCGAGGGGGACCTTCTATGGGATAAAAAGAGGCTGGGGTGAGCCCCCAGCCCAGTGCAGCTCCCAGCCATCAGCCCAGGTCCCCACTCCCACCAGCGCAACAGCCGCCACAGCTCCCCGGGAGATTTCGGTCTCACCCACCCACTCGCGGCTCTGAAGACACGTCTCGGGGCTTCCTGTCTCTTCCCGGGCCACAGACCCACCTCCCACGGACATCTGCCCCATCACCTTCCCGCACACACAACACAAACACGCCAACGACCCACAGCCAGCACCGACCCCAGCTGGTGTCCTGCTAGCTTTCTCTGGCACCTGTAGCATATTATGTACCTAACTTAGAACCTGGCCCACCCCAACTCACCCCCTGCTTTGACTTCTGTGGCCCTCCGTTTTCTCACTAGCAGCATGGGAATTGTTCACAGTATTTATCTCAGAAAAAAAAAGTATACTAATAGCAATAGCCACAACCTTTTTCCTTCTTTGGTTTGGTTTTCTAAACAGCCTACTTCCTGAGCATGTCCTCTGTGTTAAGAACCACGTTAATGATCCTACATCATCCCCAGAGCGGCCCTGGGACCTGGTATGGTTATTATCCCCATTTTACAGATGAGGAAACTGAGGCCTCGTCCAAAGTCAGAACTGGTGAGAATAGGAATCCTGATTCAAATCCAGCTCCCCCTCTGTCTATTCTAGAAACCAGCTCTCACCACCTCCCCCTCGCCGGCTTCCATCTCCTTCTCCCTTCACCCACCCCTCTCTCCTAAGCAGGACAGCAGTTGGTTCTGGCCACAAGCCACTGCTGGGGCAGGGACTGGCTGAAGGCCTTGGGCTCACTCCCCGACCCAAGAGAGCAGGGTGGGGTCAGACTGCCCCTCCTGCCCAGGTCCCCATCCTTGAGGCCGCATACAAGCCAGCCGTGCCCCTGTCTCCAGGCAGCCTGCCCAGAAAAGGGAGGGTCTCCCTGGTCCCAGGAGGGGCAGCCCACAGACTTCCGGCCACATTCCACCACCGCCAGCCTCCTTCAGTGGCAGCAGCATGTGCCAGCCGTGCCCAAGCCTTCTCCAAATTCTAGATTCGAACCTGAGACCTGCACCCCGTACTCCAGGAGTGGTCCCTGATAGAGTGAGCCCCACTCTCCACCCCAAAATGCAGCTCCCCAAACTCTTCCTCGAGAGCGAGCGGCCTGGAGCAGGCGCCGGAGC